ATCCTTGCGGAAGCCGTGCAGAAGCACCTCCCGCGCCCACTTGGGACATCAACTCTTCTCATGTTTTTCTCTGCAATGAACACTGTCCCAGGTGCAGTCTCTGGAATCTGCGAAAATTGCCGCCAAGCATTCAACCGACATTGCGAACCGATTTCTCCAAGGCATCTGCTAGAAAGGATGTGATCATGGCCATCTCGAAGTTCTGCTTAGGTGGGTAGCACTTGCTACACAACGGGTGGGTCCTTGAACCCAGCTACTGCCAGATCTAGTGCCCAAATAGGTCACAGCTGGTGCTGGTCATGGCATAGATTGATACTTGGGTGCTTACACAGGGTCTATCTTAGTCATTCTGGGCCCCAAAGTAAGTATACAGTACAATGATTACTTGCTAGTGTTGAAAGTGGTAGAAATATGTTATAATGAAATATATCACGTCCTAAACCCTCAAGATCCGTCAAGATCCAGTTTCATTTGGGGTTTGGTCGCCCATGGATGGCTTTTGATCCACAGCGACGGGCCATCTCATCCTTTCACGCAGTGGCCCTGGAAACCTTCAGACTCATCCACATGGTGAGAGCAGCTTTGGCAAAGCAGCTACTGCCATTCCGAAGTGGTTTGGGGTTCCAATTGGCTTTCCTGCACCATCACAATTCAAATGGATTCAAATGGAGAGTTTCTCGCCAAGAGCATTCAGCCATAGCTCACAGAGTGAAATTTCCTGGGGCCCATCCAGGCCATCCAACCACATTTTTTCATCGGCTGATCAGCTGAAGCCGGGCAAACCCTTCACCGCGTCTTTCAGTTGATCAACGGCATCCAAGCCTGTGACCTTCTCCTTGGCCAGCGGTGGCCAGAACAAATCCATGGCAGAGGATGGAAATCACCTGGGTGATTCTTTCGATACACTATATAATACACTCCCGGGAACAAACGTGTCTCAGGCTACCGTTTCAGGTATCAACTAACATGTCCACTCTATACCGGCGTTTTCCTGGGGAATGCATTGCAACTTTCTTTTTACACATTGACCCAAAAACAGCTAACATGTCTCAGTTCCTGCAATTGGGGCCCTTGGATTTCGACCCTGATCTGGGATATGTTAGCTATTTTTGGGGGATAGATTCAGCCAATAACCCTGCCCACCCACGGGCATCATCTATGATGCGCTCTTCCGGAAGGAGTTGGGACCCCTTTTTTCTCCACCGTTTTGTTATCAATGCGGTCTTTGATTTGAGCCCTATTGGGGTCTGGAAATAAAGATGCTGGGGCGTCCGGGGCGGTAGTCTTCTGGCAGTTTCCCGGGAACCCCCAGAGGGGGGGACAACTTTTCCACTAACATGTCCATTCTGGATTTTCAACTAACATGTCTCAAGTATAGGGCATTTATCATAGCCTATGTTCACAGCAGCTAACGTATCCAAAAAAAAAAAAAACACAAAAAAAGTGGATACGTTTGTTCCCTAGAGAGTATTATATAATTACATATTTTTGAGGGGCAGCATATGAATTTTGGGGATGTGACCTTCTTGATATCTGGGGTGCCTAAGTTAGACCAACAATTCATGCGGTCACTTGAGCTACCGTTACATAGCTACTGTAGAAAGCAGTGATCTATCTCCTAGTAGCAATGCTGCTGGGTTGAATCTTGGGACTGCCGACCTTCCATGCCACCCCGAAGCTGCAGCCGTAGAGAATCCACCAACTTTCACTTGTCTTATACCTTTCTCCACCTGTGGATGAAAAAACATCATACGATAGCCGAGAGCATGGCTCAACAAAAAGAAGACAACATATTAGATGGCTTCACGCAGTGCACCCAAATGACGATTCGTCTTCCAACCTACTTCCCAGGGCACAAACCACTGGGCATCACCAACCAGCAGGAATGTCACGAAGATGCTCATCATGGCCAACCTTCCGTTGCTCAACTCCTGCACCAAATCGACCAGTCATGACCCACCAGTCATGACCCACCAGTCATGCTGGTCGTTTCAAATTTGGATTAGAGTCCCTATGGGTCCAAACAAGTTTCAGGTGTTGAAGCAACCACACTTTCAAGATACACCAGGACTTGTTAGTCTCATGGTAGTATACATATATACACATAATACTAGATGATATATACGTATATATGTATATATAACAATTCATTAACGTTAATAAATTATTGTTAATTATATGTGTTCGAATTTCATCCTTCGTAGCTGGCTTTCTGTGCCTATACTGATCGGTTTATATTCTTGGGTTGTATACCCTGCCCAATCTATGACCAAACCATGGCCCAAAGTCATGGCCCTGCCTTGTTCTGCATGTCCAGGTTGTCTGGTCCATCCTGGAAATTCGGGAACAGTTAGGCCATATGCCATGTGAAATCTTCGCCACCATTGTGGAATGATGGACCGTGGTTGACTGCAGCACTGCAGGATCTGTGAAGGGGATGTCAGGTTTTAAGCATAGCCGCATAGCCATTTGGGACCAGAGAAGAATCAGACAATGCGATGTTGCGCTGCTCAAGTCTGGCGCACATTATTTCAAACATCAATTTTGATGGGGTGGGAAGATGGCCTGTGGCCAATTCTTGTATAATATGTATGAATATGTACGTATATAGATGTGCTTTATATATTTATACATATGTTGCATAATGTTGCTATTTCTGAAATCAGAGCATCAAATCAGGAAACACAGCTGCTTTCACCCATCTTCGTATAACACCTTCGCAACTCTGTGTGCAGTGCCCCAAAATATGGTTCCTCAATGTTCCTACTACCAACTCTGAATTGTTTGTCTGAATCTAGAATGTCTAGAATTTGGCTGGACATGCCCCTTACAAAAATCTACAAAATCACCTGGCCACAGCGGGTCCGGCAAATTCAACAGCTTCGCCACACCCCAAGGATCACCGAAGGCGCCAGCTCGCGACTTGTCTTTGGGATCCTGGGAATGTCAGGAGCCTTGCCACCTATACCAAAAAATGGGAGTGGATGGCGGATAGCGGTCAATTTTTTTGGGGGCTATACGGCTACACGTTTTGAAACTCTGCATGGGAGAAGCGCTGAGACATTCGATCGTTTGACTCTCTTCATCGTCTGCTGGGGGATTTGGTGTAGAATGCGTTACGGCATTACGGCGTTACCACACTTTCAAGCATCTGATTTGATGTCAGGGAATCCTTGTCAAGGCGAATTTTGTACCCAAATGATACAAAAGAGCCACTTGAATCGACTCAATCCTGACAAATAGCCTCTACTAAAAACCACATTGCATTGGAAAATAATGGAAATAATCCCAATTTGATCTAATTTGATCCAATTTGTAGATTCTCCCATTCCCAAATTTCCCAAATTTCCCAAATCATCAGTTTGTGTCCTGGGTCAGGACCACCAGTTCAAGATATCCACCTGAGATTAGCAGCACAGCCTCCCAAAAAATGCTTGGGACTGAACATATTCCATTCTTGTGCACGACCAGGAAGTACAGTGTACAACTTACTGTACAAGAAATAAAACAAACTTACTGTACTTCAAATGTTGACGTTGACTCTTCTGTACTTCAAATCTGATGATCATGACGTGGCGTGTCAAACGATCAAACATTTTTTCTCAAGGAGTATAGCGCATGATTGTGAGGCCAAACTTCATAGTCCCCCAATCCTGGATGAAAATAACGCGATCAACATACGATCGACAACCTCTGCGGGATGGAAAATCACAAGAAAAGGGATTGCAAGAAAGCCTGAAGCCAAAAGTACACTTTCCCATTGGAAGTTGAGATCAAACGTGACTCTACACTACAATATTGAAAAGTCGCGGGAAAACATGGCAAAACATGGCAAATCCCAGCAAAATAACATCAATTTTAGCAATTTTGCGGCACTTTGGCATGCTTTGGCATGGCAAATCGGAGCAAATCGGCTAGGATCCAAACAGAAAATCACCACCAAGGAGAAGCCAAACTGCCCAGCTGAGATGCTCAAGGCCTGGGGGCAACCCTTATGGCACTTGGCAGTCGCATATCAATGTGACCCGTGGATACATGCCAGACGATTGCGTGGAGGGACAACGGACAAGTGCTGCAGCTCCTGTCTTTTCATCGCTTCACCGACTTAGGAACACTCCAACGCACAGACAGCGAAGACATCTTCTCCAACTGCTGTGAACCTGTGGGTCTTCCACGTATTATGTATTGAAGCCCAAACCTGAACGTTGGTGAATCAACTAACAACTGTGAATATCCAATGACACTATTAAATTGTTATATACAACATCAATGGATATAAATGGAGTATACGAATTTAATAGAATCTCTACAAATCAAAGATAATAATCATTCAAAAATCCAAGTAATGTCTTGATTCCACCAATTTTGCAGCAGGCATACCACAAATAACAGCCACATCAAGCCCATTCGACAGCTCCACTGGCTCTGCTGGGCGGACCCTTCATGCGGTGCTTCTCTTTTCAAGTGAATGGGGAATCCGGGATACGAAACCTTCACCAAAAATCATGCTTCCAAGATTTTCCAAGGCTCACGTACTGCTGCGTCGCCACAGCGATTGTTTGGACATGTGTCTATTTTCAGACAAATAGAAAAGTCCGAACAAAACACAACATCCTATGGGGGTGAACGAAGCTCATCGACATCGACCTATCTCATCTATGCCCGCAATGCACCCAAGTACTGCCATGTTATGTCAATAGTCCAGTCAGCTCAGGCAGTGGACGCACCTTAGGATCCTGAGTGGGCTATCAGCTACCGATATGGCAGTAGCAAGAGAAAGCCAAAACACCCTGGTGGGGTGAAGCTCCATTTCTTCCACTGTGCTGTCCTTTAAAGAACTTGGAAGCAATTGGAGAGCTGGTCATGGGGTGAATCACAACAAGACCATGGTTAAGAAACTGCAATGATTTATTTATATGGGATGACCCGCCCATACGGGGTGACCGATGTTTATGAGGCTATGATGCCTAAAACATCCTAAAACTGCATCCATGTGCTTTGCGGAAACAGCGTGAAACGGGACTTGAGCCTTGCATATGTGTTCACCCCTTTCTTCGGAAAAGAATAGAAAGCCAGAGTTGTCCAATCGGCCCCTTATGAGTAGTCAATCGGTCAACTCAGGCCTGAACTCTGGGCTTGTCTTGACCACGGCTTTAGCCGGAAGGCAAGACTTTACTAAAGAGACCCTTTCCACTACAGCATTTTCTGGCATGTATAGAGGAGCTCTGAGGGAAACCAATGGAGCGCTGATCCTCCTCTTTCAAAATGGCTGGATTCAGGTCTGACCAATGCTTCAGAATGTTCAAATCCCTTACCTGAGTTGAACTTGTTCAGAAACGGTTTGGCTTCAGGTTCTGCTTTGGGAAGCTAGTGCTAGATACACCTTTCCTTGCGCACAAACGAACACCTGAAACGGACAAGAAGTAGATTTCAGGCTCCTTTCAACAAATCATAAGGCCGTCAGTGGCCTTCCAGTCTTTCAGAAACCCCGCTGCAGGCCAAGCAACAAATTCAACGGCATAATCGGATGCCATCCTGCGGATCCTTTGATTTTTGTCCACCGCGTCACAGAAGGTTGCAACTTCAATTGAAATCAGCCGGGAAATGTCCTACAGAAGTGCTGACGACATCTGACGACACACCCTGTCTAGGAAATTATAGGGTCTGTGCAAACACTGAGGCAAATTAGAAACAAACAACTCTGATCCTTTGGAACCGCGTGGTTTCAAGATGTTTCAAGCCTTTTCAAGCAGAGCTGGGATTCAGCTAGGCTCCTGAGCCTCTAAATTTCCCATGTGAAGCCACGGAGTCCAAAGGCACATCTCAGCAATCCACACCTGTTTGCTGCCAGCTGCCAGCCCCAGGTCGATTGGGATCATCTTCCAAACATTTCCAAACAAGGCTTGAACAACATCTCACCCACCCCAAGCAATGACAAACCCGCAAAATCACTAGGGCCTTCCATGGTCTTACTATATGTCTTACTCAATTCCTGTCTTTTGAGAGGCAAGTCACGAAGTCACGAAGTCATGAAGTCACGAAGTCACGAAGTCTAGTTACTAGTTAATCTGGACTCCTGCTGGCGATAATCCCGCAGGATTCTAGCATCGTTGCCACAGAATTCCAACGTTTCTCAACAGGCGTCCGATTTTAAAGGATGAAATGCTTTCCAGCTCACCACCCACCCCCCTGGTCACTCTGAAGGCTCAGCCACATTGCTAAGCCTTGCAAGATGCGCTGATTTCAGGGTTGAGTGATCATAGCGACATCGGCCATCTGATATGTAGTAGCAAGCTGCGGAAACCTGCACGCAAAATCCGGGATGCTGGAAGATTAAGGGCTTTGCATTTTGTCATTCCCATTCACCTTTTTGATCCTTTTTGTACATCACGATGAAGACCTCTGACGCCTCTCATATTTGATGTACAAAAACATAAGGCTAGTTCTTTGGATACGAAACATGAAGAGTTCGAATTGAATTTGAAAATGTTCCGTTTGGCCAAAGTTGACCGAACTAGTACTGTAGCCTGCTTCAAATAAATTTCCATTTGTTTCTGCTCCACACATTTTGCAAAACATACCATAGAAATCCATAGAAGCAGCAAAAGCCTCGAGCGATGCAATTCAGTTGGTCCTATCAAGTTGAATTCTTTGAATTCTTTGAATGGAACAGAGATGAAAAAGATTGAAAAAGAGCATCCATGCCCTACATAACAAAATATTGGGAACTATATATTTGAATATATTTGATCTATTTGGTACTCCTTGCCCTCATTGGCCATCGCACAGCTGCAGTCAAGCAATGCCAAGCAACGGTTCCGTGTGCAAAAACCACGTCATCAAGTGCAAAGACTCCGTGTTGCAGGCACGTGGTAACAACAGAACAAAGAACTTGATATGCATCTGTGCCGGGATCCAACCTGGGTGAAAGTGTGGAAGTCGTGGAAGCAGATGGAAGCAGGTTAATAAAAACCCAAAGTGCAAAAACGTAGCTGCATATCTTCACATAACTTACTGTGAACATTTTTTTGTGTAACAATAGTATACAATAGTATAATAGATAAATTCCTTTTCACAATCACAGGCTGATTTTTTTCAAGCCGTATTGTTCGCAGGATGTGGCCGTGGGGCCCTCCGTCATTGCTTTGATATCTGTTCTTTTCAAGTGCAAGGGAGCCACAGAATCAGCAGATCAGGGCTTTTGAACTTGAATCTGAAAACAACTCGTCCCCTCCTAACATGAAACTCTGTTTGAATCCGTTTGACACGTTCTGTGACATTTCCTCATCTCCGGTCTGACCAACATCAACAAGAAGCAAGAGCTGATGTAGGAAGCCGCTGTCTTGCAAGCACTCGTTGTGCCTTTGAACTTCAAGTTCTTCGTGCAATGATTTCGAGAGCATGTCCAGGATTGCCACTTTTCCGTCCTTTGACAGGGCCTTGTGCTTCATATCAAAGGTATGCTTGAGGAAGCGTGTGACTCGAATGGACAAATCTGGATCAATATTGTTGTGCAATAGGAATTTTCGCAGCCCAGAGAATTGTTCCATTTCATCCTCAGTCCACAGGCTGTAGAGCTTTGATCGAAACACTGGGCTAGACTTGACATGACTTGATGGGCACTGCGGGAACTTGCATGCAGAATGTGTTAGCAAAACATTGCGCTGAAACAGAAGCTATGAAAATCCATGAAAATAATTGAATTGAGAGTGAACTCCCCGATTGATTGCCAAGCCTACCTAGCATTTAGACTTAGAGATTTTGGACCATTCCACCCTATGGTTACTTGAATGCCGAATTTAACTATGTTCGCAAACCACCAGGTCTTCCCGGTGGTCGACGATAAATTTAGGTCGTACGGCAAGAACTCCGACCACACATGAAAAGCCATGAACATGTTGTTACAATACGTTTTTTTGGGGGCCCTAGTTCCTCCTAGTTGGAGCTGCATGTGAACTCCAATAAAAGAATCACCTCTCTGTGCCATTGGGCATCGTTCTTCAACTTTTGTAGCGCCGCCAGCAACGATGTCATTGAGCTGATCACAGTAGAGAAGCTGAGCAAGGCCATAAAGCTGACGACGATGGAAAAAATGCCTTGGATTCGGTCTCTCCAGAAATGTACTGTGGATTACTGTGGTAAATCCAAAGCCATAAGCCTCCAACTGGGGATGGTTCATAGTTCGTACTGATACATCATTTCTAGTAAATTGGGGGTTGAGTTACTATTGGGTCTATTGCCTTTGGGTCTACCATCCCATTTCGTTCTGTGGCATTCTCTGGTGGTTTAAGTCACATCAGGCAAAGGAAGATACAGTGATGAGTAGGCCCGTAGGCCTCAATCCCCTTGGTGCCCTTCCATGGGCAACTGGGGTGGATCCAACTTTGGGGTCTGTGGGTACCAAAACCTGGGGACCCCAAAACATTCATTGAAGATCATTGAAGAATCTATCCACATCAACCACCTACCTCCGAATTTTCCGCATCCTGGTCATGTCCGTTTTGGGCCCCTTGTGACCCCATCGGAAAACGCATGGCGAGGTGCGCTCATTGAGATTGATTGCTTCAATCTCAGTGCTGCCCACACCCAGCTGGGAATAGGCCCAATGAAGGCCTTAGAACTTAGAACTACTGTACATCTGAGATGCGTTACGAAGAGAAAGGTTTGGGCCAACCAATGGAAGGATCATGAAGAGCCATGGACCCCATCACTGGTTTTTACGAGTGGGAAAGGGACTGTGTCGGACACTGTGTCCAGTGTCCGAACCATGGTTTTTGGCAGTGATTTGCGGAGAGATATCCTGGGTCGAACGTGAAAACATGTTAGGCAAACGTCACCCCGGTGAAAAATTCGAGATACTGATCATAGACGAGTCCTGCGCACTACCACCAATGTCGTTCGCGTTATGGATATCCACTTTTCATCACTTTTCCTATTCTTGGCTCCCCGTAAACATGCCGACCTCTTGTTCTTGCTTGGTTTGCGGCTTCCCGCTGAATGTGGCGTCCCAGGTGGCTTGACCCATAGCAGTTCCAACCGATAAGGAACTGGTCGCATAGCGCACGGACACTGAGCGCTCATTCAGCTGCATTTTTTCGACCCAACCTTGCTGGTGGTCAACTAAAATCTGATCTGCATGAAACAACTAAAGAAGTGCAAGGACCCGTCGGACGATGGGTTTCCAAGTCAAAACGAGTCACCTCTTTCATCTTTACTATTTGGCATGGTGTTTCAACCAGAGTGAGTCGCGCGAGAGATGGCGTTTCACTTGCTGTGGTGAAAATCAACAAACACGCTGAAACCGCCGAGCGGCTCGAGTCGTCATGATCTTCTGCCCCAATGCCATACCACAAGCAAGCCTCACACTTCCAGCAGTTAGCCAGGCTAGGTGCAAACTGCCAGTGATTTCTGAATGGTGCTGCCACAAGTTTTCAAGAAAGCAAACTTTCATGGATGGGATTTTGAACACCCTTGCTTCATTAACAAAACACAAAATGACGACACTTGGAGCGCCGACTATGATGTGGTTGTAGATCAGCAGTTGAAATATGATTTTCATTATACCTCGGCGCAGGAAGGCTGGCTAGCCGATGGTCAGTGCTATGAATCCAAGTTGTATGCACCATTGATGCAGCAAGCTGCAAGCTTAATGTTTCATGAGGTGAAACCACTAAGCCCATGGTAATTCTCCAGCTTCCCAGCTCCCTTGATGGATCGTGCCCAGATTCTGTACTGGATGTTGGCCATTCTGGAACTCAACTGCTCCTTCACGGACTCAATGATCGAACCTGGCAAATGTCTCAAAGGTCTCAAATGTCAACTTTGCAACTTTGTGATTGGTATAGTACAAAAGAACCTGCCACACAGCTCAAATATAAATTGCCCTCAAGCTGAATCACTTACTGTATCATCTCAAACTTTGGCATACCCCACATCGAACAAGTTCCTCATGGAAGGAGTAAGGAACAGCTACGCTGAAGCCGACGTCAACGACTTCCATTGTCCATGAGATCTACTACATCACGAGGTCCAGATACCGCCAGGGATTTCCTAACGATGGTTGTTGCGGTATCTGATCCCCAACATCTTCAGTTTCATCTTCCAGGCCTAATCTCACGACACGCCCCAGCCGTAGCAGGCGCAGAAAGCGTAGGCTACGGATGGTGCGAGACAAGCGAGCCACACCGGCAGAATCACCGTCAGAGTCAAGGACCAAAATGGTCCAATCAAGGCCTTGTTGGATTGGAATGGGTGATGGGTTCCCACAACTTTCCAAACAATGGGTCACAACCCATGAAGTAGCCCACTGACTAATCATGGAATGCGCAAGGGGGAACGCGCCAGGAAAAAGAGCTTCCGACTACCACCACCACTACCACCACCACGACCACCACCACTACTACTTCTACTACTCCTACTCCTACTTCTACTCCTGCTGGCTGGCTGCAAGATGTGGCAAGCAGCCGGAAAAAACAAAACTGTCTGTTTTAATAAGGTTTCAGAAAGGACGGCGGTGCTTTGCCGTTTCGGAGGCGGTCACAAAAGCATAAAGCCTATGCTTTGGGCTGGCTGGCTGCAAGATGTGGCAAGCAGCTGGAAAAAACTGAAAACTGTCTGTTAAAATAAGGTTTCAGAAAGGACGTTAGGCATTTTTGGTGACTCATTTTGCAACCTTTTCGGCGGGAAACCAGGTGGCATTTTGCCGTTTCGGAGGCGGTCACAAACGCATACAGCCTGTGCTTTGGGGGCTGGCTGCAAGATGTGGCAATCAGCTGGAAAAAGCTGACAACTGTCTGTTAAAATAAGGTTTCAGAAAGGACGTTAAACATTTTTGGTGGCTTATTTTGCCACTTTTTGGGCACGAAATTAGGTGGTGTTTTGCTGTTTCGGAGGCGGTCACAAAGGCATACAGCCTGTGCTTTGGGGGCTGGCTGGCTGCAAGATGTGGCAAGCAGCTGGAAAAAGCTAAAAAATTGTCTGTTGTAATAGGGTTTCAGAAAGGACGTTAAACATTTTTGGTGGCTTATTTTGCTACCTTTTGGGCACGAAATTAGGTTGGGTTTAGCCGTTTCGGAGGCGGTCACAAAGGCATACAGCCTGTGCTTTGGGGGCTAGCTGGCTGCCAAGATGTGGCAAACAGGGTTCATTTTCAACTCCAGCTCCATGCCTTTTTTCCCGGGGTCGGCGGCAGGGGCTTTAGCCCTTTTATAATTTCTAGATAATTTCTGTATAGGATAACGAATGTTCTAGCAGATTCTAGCACCTGTGCCAGTTGCTCAGTCTACCCGAATCTGCTTGGAGAGTGGGGTCCACATGTGATTTCGTGGCTCGATGGCCAAGACATGTCAAGACACTCACCAAAGCCAAATCCAAGATGAACCAAGTGGTCCTTGGACGCGTGACAAATGGATACAAATGGTGAATCATGATCACAAATGGAAGCACTGGCGAATGACAAAGAGACGTGCATAATGTATCATAATGTGTAGTATGTTTTAGTTCCCTGGCAATCCAATATGAGTGCAACCAGAATCTAACCATAATCTAACCAGAATCAACAATCAAAACTTCTGGCCCAGGGCAGCTGTTTCAATAGCAGCTCAAAGGTTCGTAGCTGTCTTAACAAAAACACAAGCTTAACCAAAGATGGTGCAACCCCATCACCACTGCTGATGGTCTTTCAGGAGCCTTAAAATCACCAATGGTTCTGGCATACCGGTAGTACATGCATTATGTTCAACAGGTACATCACCTGTAAATGGGCTATTTTGCATAGCTATGTTAGTTTTCCAGATTGTATATACCCTGTTCATGTGAACAGGCCAAGCTTTTAGACATTCGCAATTCGCACGTGTCAACAATTCCATTGCAATGCATTGCCCAGTTTGCACTGGAATTTGCAGTTTCAATCCCTCTGGCCGAGGCATGTCTCAGCTAATAGCGAGCAATGGGGATAATGAGGAGAATGAAACTGGGGATCTTATATGAACTTTGATCACGAAATCCACATCGCCTTAACTTGGCACAGCCAATACGGCCAAAAACACAGCTTTATCAAAAAGTGCAAGCACATCCCACAGATTGCTAACAACCTTCAACCTGAAGAGTTGGATAAGCTATGTTCCATGTTCCATGACCTTCAACTTGCAAACATTTTTTCTTTGGTGGGATTGACACATCTGTGTCTGTCTTATGTAAAGCTTTCGGGGTGGGGTCAGGGGTTGGGGATTTGGTTTCTGATGGTTGCAAACTTCACTTCATTGGATATGAAAAGGGCCACCTTCTCTGCTTCGCAACAACATACTGAATGCACTGACTGGCTTGAGCACGCTCACTACAAGCCAAGACGCCCATAATTTCTGCAGGTTTTCCTCAAGTTCAGGACCAGTAGCCCATCTTCATCATATCCTCGGTGAGAATCTCACCATCCCGTGTTGGAAAACACCAACAACAAAATGCCAAACTCAATGTGACGATCTGCTGCGAACTATTGTATACATTCATATATATATATAATATATATATATATAGAATGGAATATCATATCTATATACATATTCACCATATTTCACCATATTGTGTCTTGATCATCACTGCAAACGTCGCCAAGGCACCCGTAATGAAAGACAATGGAATTGCTGCATTCCAGTACCTTAGTAGTAGATTTCTATCGTTTTTCACCTTCGGGTCACTGTAGAATTTTACAGGTGGTAACATTCCGATCAAAAGTTGAAGGGTTCCAACATCTTCAAACCTCCAACATCTTCCAACCTATTGCCCATTCCAGGAAAGCATGGCCGCTTCAAGCTGCAAATGGGCGATCCAAAACATGATCGTCAGCAGTGATGATTCGCCAAGGCCGACGAACCGCAGCGGGATCACGACAAAATCATAAGACAGCAATAACACACCAATGGTACCCCACCAGGTTGAAAAGGTACTGCTGGGATTCCTGGGAGGCGCACCATGGCGCAGCTGGCGCACGCGAATCCTGCGAATCCTCTGTCTTAAGAGTCTTGGGTCAATTGTCTATACTTGGGCAGCAAGCCCTAAAACACCACCCCAATCTATCCACAAATGGGGTGTCTATGGTTTTGGAATGTTGAATAATAATGTTGCATCGTACATACATAAACGATAAGCATCTATAAACCATACCCCTTGGAGGTCTAGTGATGTCCGGTGATGTCTAGTGTGCTTAGGCTCCGCAGCATGTAAAAGCACTGGCTGGATGTTCGTCGCGCCCGCAGCAATTCTGGCGCTATTCCGCCTGTTGAGAGAACCTTGGTGGCCAGCGACCGGATGCACCGCAGGTATATTCCTTCCCGAACTGGTTGGTGAGTTCCGCCCAAGGACATATAAAAATGATTAAACATGTGTGGAACACATACATAAAGTATATTGAAATATCATATTATGATATCATCTTATTAAGTATACATAACTGATCAAAACACCACATATCAAGAGTGTATTATTGATTATTCTTGGAATTTCCTGAATCATCATTGAACTCATTATTCTATCTTTAATTATTTATATATTCGTAAAAAATCGTGAATTAGTTAATTGTGATCATCCCCCCCCCTAGGGGTGCTCCCAACCAGCTGAGAAAGGACTTCCCGAGCTCCTCCAGTGACATCCAAGACAACATCCAAGACAACAATAGCACAAGGGTCAATGGCTTCATCTCCTGCTGAACCACTAGCCCTGGATGTGTGTGAACAATTGTGAACATTGGTGAGCACCGAAGCACAAGAGTAAACCACATAGTAAACCATTTGTTGCCCCGATTGTCCACTATTCTTTTCTATTCTTCCTCATGATTGTAGAAAATATGTGGGACCGATGCCACCGGACGCCACCAGCGCCAAGAAACTCGTCGAGATTTTGAAGTGAAAGCACATATGCTCTTACTTTGTCGTCCCACCTCTTCTGAGCCATCTATCGGCTTCGACCAAAAGGCTCTTGGACAAAAGACATGCTCCGAATCCTTGGTCAAATGCAATGGTTTTCTCATGTGAGCGGTGGCGAAAACCCCTATGTAATTCTCTTATAATCTTACTTGTCTTCCGCGCGGTCTTCCGCGCTGCTTCCGCCACCACAGTTTCAGCTTCCGCGGATGGTTGGTAAGTTGATTCTGCTTCCGCGGAGCTTCCGCGAAAGCCAGCTCCTCATGAAATCTACAAATTGATTTGGCTCCTCATGAATATGTATATGTATATGTATTATGTATACGTATATATGTAAATATATATATATATAATTCTAATACGGTACTCAAATCGTCTTCCGCGGCCCTTCCGCGATCGGACGATCAGCGTCTGCTTCCGCAAGCCCTTCCGCGCGCTTCCGCGGACGTGGGTTTCACTTCCGCGGGCCCAACTTAGTTTAATCCCCAATTAACTTTCTTGCTTGGAGGTTTTTGACGCTGCTCATGTGGATTCCAGCCTTGCATGAACCATGAATCGGGGCATACCCTCAAGTTTGACAAAAAACACTGAATGTTATAAAATAGATTCAGATGTTAATAGCATGATCCGCTCCGCCAAGTTTCAAACTCCTCAGACGGCATTGAATTCTTTGATTTCTCTGTTGGAGATCTGTTCGACTGGACGATGTCCCTGTCGTGCTTTTTCTGCAGCACCTCAAGATGCTCGGGGGTCCAACTGCGACACTCGGTGACACAGGGGTATCAAAATGGTCACAAGAGGAGGGCAAATGCTAGAAACCCATAGATACCCAAACCCATAGGAAACCCAAGTCCTCATATCTTCTGAACCATTTTGAACCGCTGGAAATGCCTGTGGCCTCCAATCGTATTGTGAGATGAATGGAAGCAATGCATGATAGCTCTGCTGGTTGCTTGGGACAGCGAGATGAATGATGCATAGTGATGTCACATCTCTAGTGTGTGTCCAGCATTGACGATTGGAACTTCATGTAGATAGACAGCTTTAGGGACAAGCACGTGCCTCCACCCTGCAAATACCCCGCCCGTGGTTCCGCCTGCAAGTCTTCTAAGAAGGCTTCAGACTGCCACAAATCAGGGCTGTCCATGAGCATCAATCCCATGTCATCCACGGGTACCAGGGGTTTACTGGCTGCCCTCGGAAGGGGGAACAGCGGTTGGCTCGGCACCCGCCCGTTGCATGGAGTGGCCGGGGAGGGAGCAGATGGAGCCATCTTCACGCCTCGGACGATGCGGTAAGTCAAGATCAAAGGCGTTTGGACTTTGGACAAACATGGACAAACATAGGATTTTAAAGGAATTTTAAGGAGTTTTAGTTTTAAGGCTTCGCGTATGTAGAAACCCGCTTGAATCCCCAGCCCCAACGCACAGCATAAAGAGCCAGAGCATGTTCAAGTTGACATACACGTTTTTGCCCCACCCCACGCCATCCCCCAGCCCCGAATGCGTAATACGTGAGCGGTTTTAGTTTGAACCCTTCCCAAAAGGGTTGGGATCGTCATCTCACGGATGGGAAAAAAACATGAAATTAAGCCAGTCCATTTAGGGATAAATTGCCCTGTCAAGGTAGTCTAGACTATTTTTTTCATTCTATATAATTTTACTGTACAATGAGTTGAACAAGGACAAACATAAATGGGCGTATTGCCTTTGTCGTTGAAATTGGAAGACACGCGCATTGTTGGATGTTGGAAAACAATGCCAATCATGGGGCAACCCCAGCAATCAACCACACTCAAGTTTGCCATTTGAAGGCTATGTATGTGGGGGTTGTCCTAAATTATTGTTCCCACAAAGGCCTCTTGGGCCGAGCTTGCGCCAACCTTGCGCGTTTCTTGCGCGACCACACGCCCGGATCACTTTCATCATTTCAGTTGTTTTTCATCATTATTCTCGTACTTGTTTTCGAATGTTAAATATTTAGTATTCACTTAGTATTTCGTACTGGGAAGTAGTTTGTGCAAGCTTTGTAGTGCACAGTAGTACTGGGAAGTAGTTTGTGCAAGCTTTGTAGTGCAAAGTAGTATTGGGAAGTAGTTTGTGCAAGCTTTGTAGTGCAAAGTAGTACTGGGAAGTAGTTTGTGCAAGCTTTGTAGTACACAGTAGTACTGGGAAGTAGTTTGTGCAAGCCATGTAGTACAAAGTAGTACTGGGAAGTAGTTTGTGCAAGCTTTGTAGTACACAGTAGTACTGGGAAGTAGTTTGTGCAAGCTTTGTAGTACACAGTAGTACTGGGAAGTGATTTGTGCAAGCTTTGTAGTACACAGTAGTACTGGGAAGTAGTTTGTGCAAGCTTTGTAGTACAAAGTAGTACTGGGAAGTGCTTTGTGCAAGCTTTGTAGTACACAGTAGTATATACTGGGAAGTGCTTTGTGCAAGCTTTGTAGTACACAGTAGTACCGGGAAGTGGTTTGTGCAAGCTTTGTAGTACACAGTAGTACTGGGAAGTAGTACTGGGAAGTAGCTCTGCACGTGTTGAACTTCTGTGGTTTCAGAGCGGTTTCAGAGTGGTTTCAGACCCCTTCGGGGTGTCTAGCTGACCTTGATGAAAAGAACAATTTACAGACAGAAAAGACTTGAACACAACATACAAGGAAATACATTTAAAGAGCAGACAGATAGATAGATAGATAGATAGATAGATAGATAGATAGAGATAAAGCAGCCAACGCGGTCCGGAAGACATGCAGCAGCAGCCCGGAGATGGTGAGCAGGAAGGTGTTTCAGAGTGGTTTCAGACCTCTTTTGGGTTTGTTTTTTGGGTACCCCCAGCTTTGGGAGATGAAAAAAGAAAGAGAAAAGGTAGAGAAAGAGAGAGAGAGAGACAGAGAGAGGAAGAGGGAAAGAGAGAGAGAGAGAGAGATAGAGAGAGAGAGAGAGAGGAAGATGGAAGATGGAGACAAACAGAAGGCGAGAGAGAGAGAGAGAGACAGAGAGAGGAAGAGGGAGAGGAGAGAGAGAGCGTTGTAAATGGTGAGCAGCGGGGTGTTTCAGAGTGGTTTCAGACCTCTTTTTGTCCGTAGGCTACCTCAGCTTTGGAGAAAAAACAGGAAAGAACGGGAAAAGAAAGAAGAGAAGGGAGAAAGAGACAGAGAGAAAGAAGAAGTCTTGAGACGGTGAGCAGGAAGATGTGTCGAACTGGTTTCAGACCTCTTTTGGGTCCGGTTATGGGGTTACCTAGTTCTTAAGACATCCAAAAGAAGGGGCTCAAAACAGATTGTGCTTGAAACACATGCGGTCCGGAAAGACGTGCAACGGTCCGGAAAAGCAAGCACCCAAAACGTACTCTAATCGTAGCGATTGCGGTCCGGAAACGCATGCAGCGGTCCGGAAAAGCGAGCACTCAAAACGCACTCTAATTGTAGACATTGCGGCCCGGAAAGACATGCAGCGGTCCGGACAAGCAAGCACCCAAAACGTACTCTAATTGTAGACATTGCGGCCCGGAAAGCCATGCAGCGGTCCGGAAAAGCAAGCACCCAAAACGTACTCTAATTGTAGATATCGCGGTCCGGTAAGACCTGCAGCTGTCCGGAAAAGCAAGCACCCAAAACGTACTCTAATTGTAGCCATTGTGGTCCGGAAAGACCTGCAGCGGTCCGGAAAAGCAAGCACCCAAAAAGTACTCTAATTGTAGATATTGTGGTCCGGAAAGACGTGCAGCGGTCCGGAAAAGCAAGCACCCAAAACGTACTCTAATTGTAGAAATTACGGTCCGGAAAGACATGCAGCGGTCCGGAAAAGCAAGCACCCAAAACGTACTCTAATTGTAGCCATTGTGGCCCGGAAAGACCTGTAGCGGTCCGGAAAAGCAAGCACCCAAAAAATACTCTAATTGTAGATATCGCGGTCCGGAAAGACGTGCAGCGGTCCGGAAATGCAAGCACCTAAGACATTACGGTCCGGAACATGCAGCGGTCGGGAAAAGAGGATAGCACGAGACAGAGATGGAGACAAACAGAAGGCGAGAGAGAGAGAGAGAGAGACAGAGAGACAGAGAGAGGAAGAGGGAGAGGAGAGAGAGAGCGTTGTAAATGGTGAGCAGCGGGTGGTTTCAGAGTACGTTTTGGGTGCTTGCTTTTCCGGACCGCTGCACGTCTTTCCGGACCGCAATATCTACAATTAGAGTACTTTTTGGGTGCTTGCTTTTCCGGACCGCTGCAGGTCTTTCCGGACCACAATGGCTACAATTAGAGTAGAGCAGACCGTACAATACGAGTAAACGTCTTTGGTGAGCAGCGGGTGGTTTACAGAGTACGTTTTGGGTGCTTGCTTTTCCGGACCGCTGCACGTCTTTCCGGACCGCAATATCTACAATTAGAGTACTTTTTGGGTGCTTGCTTTTCCGGACCGCTGCAGGTCTTTCCGGACCACAATGGCTACAATTAGAGTACGTTTTGGGTGCTTGCTTTTCCGGACCGCTGCATGTCTTTCGGACCGCAATGTCTACAATACGAGTACGTTTTGGGTGCTTGCTTTTCCGGACCGCTGCACGTCTTTCGGACCGTAATGTCTACATTTAGATTACGTTTTGGGTGCTTGCTTTTCCGGACCGCTGCAGGTCTTTCCGGACCGCGATATCTACAATTAGAGTACTTTTTGGGTGCTTGCTTTTCCGGACCGAAGCAGGTCTTTCCGGACCACAATGGCTACAGTAGAGTACTTTTTGGGTGCTTCCTTTTCCGGACCGCTGCAAGTCTTTCCGGACCACAATGGCTACAATTAGAGTACGTTTTGGGTGCTTGCTTTTCCGGACCGCTGCATGTCTTTCGGACCGTAATGTTTACAATTAGAGTACGTTTTGGGCGCTTGCTTTTCCGGGCCGCTGCAGGTCTTTCCGGACCGCGACATCTACAATTAGAATACTTTTTGGGTGCTTGCTTTTCCGGACCGCTGCAGGTCTTTCCGGACCACAATGGCTACATTTAGATGGCTACGTTTTTGGGGTGCTTGCTTTTCCGGACCGCTGCAGCACGTCTTTCCGGACCTACAGTATTAGAGTACGTTTTGGGTGCTTGCTTTTCCGGACCGCTTGCACGTCTTTCCGGACCGCGATATCTACAATTAGAGTACGTTTTGGGTGTTTTTTTTGAGCCCCTTCTTTTGGATGTCTTAAGAACTAGGTAGCCCCATAACCGGCCCCAAAAGAGGTCTGAAACCAGTTCGACACATCTTCCTGCTCACCGTCTCAAGACTTCTTCTTTCTCTCTGTCTCTTTCTCCCTTCTCTTCTTTCTTTTCCCGTTTTTTCCTGTTTTCTCTCCAAAGCTGAGGTAGCCTACGGACAAAAAGAGGTCTGAAACCACTCTGAAACACCCCGCTGCTCACCATTTACAACGCTCTCTCTCTCCTCTCCCTCTTCCTCTCTCTGTCTCTCTCTCTCTCTCTCTCTCGCCTTCTGTTTGTCTCCATCTTCCATCTTCCATCTTCCTCTCTCTCTCTCTCTATCTCTCTCTCTCTCTCTTTCCCTCTTCCTCTCTCTGTCTCTCTCTCTCTCTCTCTCTTTCTCTACCTTTTCTCTTTCTTTTCTCATCTCCCAAAGCTGGGGGTACCCAAAAAACAAGCCCAAAAGAGGTCTGAAACCACTCTGAAACACCTTCCTGCTCACCATCTCCGGACTGCTGCTGCATGTCTTCCGGACCGCGTTGGCTGCTTTATCTCTATCTATCTATCTATCTATTCATCTATCTATCTATCTATCTGCTCCTTTTTCTTTGGATGGCCTATTTACCACCCTGGTTATCTATGTTTATCAACTCGAGATATTAATATTTAAGATCTAAATCAGATACGGTAGTAGTAGTAGTAGTAGTAGTAGTAGTAGTAGTAGTAGTAGTCGTAGTCGTAGTCGTAGTCGTATAATCGTAGTCGTAGTCGTAGTCGTAGTCGTAGTCGTAGTCGTAGTAGTAGTAGTAGTAGTAGTAGTAGTAGTAGTAGTAGTAGTAGTAGTAGTAGTAGTGGTAGTAGTAGTAGTAGTAGTGGTAGTAGTAGTAGTAGTAGTAGTCGTCGTAGTAGTAGCAGTAGTAATCAAAATATTAATTAAAATAGTACTTGTAATAATGATAACAATAATACTTGCGCGTACCTTGGGCCGCCCTTGCGCGAAACTTGCGCGATGCAGGTTTTAGACCATGGGAAAAATGCGAGAATAGGTCCTTTACTAAAAACCTTTCTGGGGTTTTTGGACGGCTCCCATGTACATGTATGTACCATACTACCAGCTGTAAGTGCAGTACAGCCCTTCTAACTCGGCTGATAGGATGGTGAACAAAATAAGGTCTGTTGACTCGCTGGCAAGACGATGGTAGACGGGGGCTTTCCTATTGCGCAGTATCCATCTCCAAAAGTGCAAAGACAACAAACACCCGAATTGGAAGTACTTAAAAGGAGAAATAAAGCTTACATTGCCTCGTACTAGTAGCATCCGGTGACACAAATGTTCAACACAAACATCGTCACTTTGAGTAATTGAGAGAAGTTTGCTCGCACACTCCAACGATATCTGATGCAGAAGATTATAGAAGTCACATAACTACTCCATACTGCTACACTGTCACTGCTGAATGGCGCTGGGATCTGCCATGACACTTTCTGCCCATAGCGATGGTGGTGTTTCTTTGGATGGGGCTCTGGGCAGTGGTGGCGCTGGCATCCGCCCTTCCTGACCACGATCAACGATAAGGAGACTGTATACCCTTGGATCTTGGACGGTTAACATCAGCCATCGGCTAACATCGACTAACATCGGCAATGATAATTATGCCTTGAGTGCTTCAACCACTTGACTCTCATGATTTGGTGAATCATGCACAAAGGAATCTGTCACTTTTGGGCTCCAGTCTGCGAGGACCAGTTACCATTCCTGTCCAGTGTTGCTGAATCTGTCCAAGGTACAAAATTCAACACAAAAAATCAGCAAGTCTCATTCATCATATTAAGATATATTAAGTATGTCTGTGAGTTTGTATTAGTATGAGCTTGAAATTGCCAAAATGATTCGATATTTGACCGAGCTCACAAGGACCCAGGTGAAACTTTTCTATGGCATGCCTGCCAAGTCTTCATCCTCGTCACCCATGAACGAAATGTGGCAATCTTCATATAGCGGTCACTGTGCAATATGTAACTTTTAAATATCTACTACATACTACATATACATTGTATTACATTATATATTACATTATTTTACATTATATTTCATAATATTACATAATATTACATTATACTGTTACTACATAAAATTACATTATATTACATTATATTGCATTATATTACATTGTATTACATTATATTACATTATATTACATTGTATTACATGATATTACATCAGATTGCATTATATTACATTATATTACACTATACTAGTTAATGACATATATTCAATGCTTGTCATTCTTATGTATTTCTAACATTATGCCTTATGCAACGTGCATCAAACATATCGACCAGTATGAACAAGTATCTCACGTGGGAATCTAGTATCCAATTCAAACATATTGACACAACAATTTTTCGAGCTCATCTTGGTCCCAACACTTCACACTCCACTCATGCTGCACTCCTGCATCATCAGGAGATCCTGTGCATAGCATTCTCCCAGCCGCCGATGGAGATCCCAAAACGCCTCATTCCAGGCGTCGCCGCGGCCGCTATGGCTATGGCCCGCCATCACCAGAAACTCTCTGGCCGTGCAATTCCAAACAGCTGTGAGCAAATGTCCCAATACAGGTATGTCCCAATTGGAGTCCCAATTGGAGTCCCAATTGGAGTCCCAATTGGAGTCCCAATATGTCCCATTGGATTCTTATTATTCTTCTGACAGTGTTTTTGTTGTCGTTTCTTTGATCAGACTTAGATAAAATTCAGATGTTTTGAACATCACCTTCAAATGGATTGTTGGAGATGCTCATGCCATGATGTGGCGATGTTTCAATGGGACATACCACCAGCCCTGTCGAACCCCCACCAGAAAATCAAGGGGTTTGTGAAATCTGGCAACATCTTCTCAAGCAAACTTGATTTGCTTGGGTGTGCGTTCCTGGAGAGTGGGATTCAAGTTTCACAGGTCACTAAGTTGCTGTTCCATTCCTTAGTTTCATCAAATTTCTATGCTGGAAATGACATCAATCCCCGTTGGGAGAGTTTCCGGTTGAGCGCGATGTGAATGACACTTCCAACATCTTCCAAGCTATTCGTGGACATGTCCAACCATGTCCAACCCTAAGGCCCATCAACATGAATGGTTTTGTAGGTAGTAGGCCAAGCTAAGTCTTTGATGACATGTGTGAAAAATGAGCGGATTGCACTCGACGAAGACAGATGACATTTGGATACATTTGGTCCGCAAACTCAAGATGAACCACGCGCTCGATCTGACTCGATCTTTCATAAAGAAAATGGAGAGTTTTTTTTTCAAATTTGTGTCATCTCTTGACGTTTTCACCGGGGATACGCTTTGCACCAGAGTACCACCAAATCACCACAGCTGAGGATTCCCACATCCAGGCCTGGTGAGGCCACAAGGCTTGGCAACTTTGGCAGGTTTCAGAGGTATTAACATCCCAGTACCGCTACTATCCGATACTCAATTCATCTCCAAGTCGAAGTGGGTCAGATGGAACTGGCAGTTGGGAAGCAACACATTTTCGATGTTCATTCATGATGGCGAGATGGACAAAGGAATTTCTTACATGGAATTAGAAGTTAAAATAGATACGATGTTTAATGTTATCACTTTTTGGTCACTAAAGGTTCCCGCTTGTTCGTTCTCATTCTTTCTCAGTTCTGAATTCCCGCAGCTGGCACAGCTCCAAAAATATTCACCTTTGATATTGATTCAACTTTTATTGACTGTTATAGTTATTGTCGTCATGTGTCACAATCATTCCAGCTAGCAGAATGAAGGCTATGGCTATATGTAACAGTTGTTTAACGTTACCTAGCGAGCCTGAACCCTAACATTTTGTAGGTTTTTCATCGAATCCCCGGGTTTTTCCCAAATTTCATTAAAATATGGGTTTTCTTCCAAAAACCCCGGGTTTTGTATATATATGTATACTAAAGGGCTTTTTGGGGAAACTGATCATGTTTCTAAATATATCAATATAATCATACTTAGCCAAACCCTTCCTTGGACAGCCTGCCTTGCTTCAGGTCGCCAACAGGAGCATCCACGATCAAGGATGTACTATGTAAATTCCTGATTTTATATTTTATACTTTCACTTTGCTTATGACCTAGCGAGCCTGCACATTGGAAGCCGCTGATTCCTAAGAACCTGGATGCCTGAGCCCAACGGATGGTGAAAACTTATAAATACAACAATTTTCATTGGTTTGGGTCAGAAGAAATTTGAATTCGGCTTTTTAATTCATGGATGATTCCAAACATGAAAAAAAATCAGCCAAAATCTGGACCTGGAAAATGAATCCAATTACGAACAAACAGGTGGTTTTTGTTTTTTTTTCCGGACTATATGATGTTTTTTTATGATTTTCAAGATTTTGGCTGAAAATTAAGGGTTTTTTGGAAAAACCCGTATTTTCCCGTACTTATCCCGTATTTAACCCGTACAAAACCCGTATTTTTTGATTTTCGTAAAAACCCCGGGTTTTAAAAACCCGTATTTAACCCGTACAAAACCCGTAATTAACCCGTACAAACCCGTAGAAAAAATATGGGTTTTTTGGGCCCCGGGCTGAAGGCCAACAGTAGCGGATTTTTAGGTCCGATTGCTGTTTTGCGAGAAGATGCCAAACCGGCATCGAAAATTAGATGGGAAAAATGGATACAGCCTTCAAATTTACATGGCGTACCGCGGAAAATTAATAAATCATCTCCAGGCACCATGTTTTCTGTAAGTTTGACGGTGGTTCAAATTCGCAGCCTTGTTGGACTGGAACGGACTGTAGTTGGATTGTAGTGAGTATGGCGCCAAAACATGTGTCTACTCGTATAGGGATATTTACGAGGATGAAGAAAAAGTGTGGAGCATTTGGCCAGGGTGCAACGCATCATATGGCATGATTTTGAATTTCTCAAAGATTTTCAAACATTCAGACAGGATTTCAAACAGAATGATCACAAAACGGGAAAGATCATGACAGATCATGGAAATTCAAACATGATGAAAAACATGGCTTTTCAAAACCCCGGGTTTTGATGCAAAACCCCGGGTTTTCTCTCAGACCCTACGATTTCATAGGTTCTTGGTTCCACTGGTACCAGTATTGTTCCCGCGGGTAAGCGGAACAACTGAAGTATGAATCTCCGATCCAAGGCAACTGCTACAGATCTTGATGGTTCTTGTCGGATTCACATTTCTCGCTGACAGCTTGAAAATTGGAAGGGGCCAAACAATAAGACCGTTGGAACACTGATTTTGGTACTTCTTAATACGTATGAACGATCGATTTTGATCCATTTCTCAGAGCACACAATTTCAACTCATCCCCACATGGCGCGTCTTACAGTGCCACCTTTGCCAACACCATCGAAGAAGGGCAAGTACACATAGTGCTGCACGATTTCGCCCACCTGAGGTCCGTTTCTTCAAACCCTTCATACGGACTTAGAATCTCAAGCCTTGCTCATCAAGGCAGGTTGATCTCTAAGTAGTTTAGTTTAAGGCGAGAAAACTCAGTTGTAACATCGTGTAACATATCTGCAAGGAGACTACCAACATCTACCAACATCATGTCAAATGCAGGCGCCGGAGGATGTTGGAGGTATGATCATCGTGCTGGTCCGTACGGTCCGTACGGAACAGGGAAGCTGAAACATCTCAAAGCAAATTCAGATCATGTTCCCAGTCATAGGGGTGAAATTAATTGTGTGTTGTGTATACAAGTTACGATTAATCCACTCTCCTGCCAACCTTCATCCCATCCTACAGTGGATTCCTTAGGGTGTTGCTGTACACGGCATCGAACGATTTTCCATGTTTTTCAACTCATGCGCTGGCAGAGAAGATGCCAAAGAAGTAGCAGCACACACACACACACACTTGCGACCTTACACGACACCCATCGGCACCCAAGAGGAAGGGGATGACCTGCTTCGACGGTTAAGCATGACACAGCGAAAAAATGGAGGTGAAGCAGGGCGACTCTGGTTTGTAGTTTGAAGATTCGACACAACATTAATCTTTTAGCCTCATCCACCTCTCTAGCGCAAATTGATATACATATATATATATACCATATATATAAATACCATACACACATACATATATATAAATATGATAAAAATAGGAGCACACCTACATATACTTACACACACACACACACCCATATATGCATACATGTATACATACATATATATATATATACACGCAATATGCATGTTGTAGCAGCGTAGCACCAACATCCATCATCATGAGCGATCCTTTCAAGGACCTTTCATGATCAACTCCCACATTAGAGTAGAATGTGACTCACAAGAACAGACTGCCGAATAGGAATAAAAATGAATAAAAATTGATTCTTCAACCGAGATGCCAATGCCAGCATCGCCACTCTGCCATGTTTCAATTCTGCCTGTCAGTTGGGGGCGACGGCAGTGTCACAGAGTCACAGAGGTTCTAAAGATCGAAGTGCATCACAGTCCCTCCTGCGATATTGAAAAGCGTAGTGCACGGCCCTGTGATTTAAATTTTAGCGAACAGTCCTTACCCTCCAGTAAATTAACAAGATGACCCTGCCATTCCTCGGGGTTGGGCGATTAGTTTTCACATGTTTCTGCTACATTAATGGGTAAATGATGGGTTATTCTCACGGGCTATATTAATTTATCAGAGGGTATTACTGACTGATGAAGTCAGAAATCCCAGCACCATCACCCAGCCTGGCGAAGTCGATAGAAACTCTCGGTCTGACTGGGACCCTGCGTCGCTGATGCCACACTGCTCCGTGTGCAAAGCGAAACGCATCGCAAGAACCCTTTGAAAAAATCATTGTTTCCCAATGACCATCTTTTGACTTATCATATACCCTTCGGATTGCTACCCCTGAAACTGTTCAAAAAACAACAATTCTGGTGGTCACATCAGTCGATGTAGATGAGGATACAACAAGATACAAGTTACAACAAGGTACGAGTAGATACATATATCATATATGTATCTAATTGTGTGTGAACCATCTGAATCTGAAGAGATGTAAAAACTTCTAAGTTTTGCAGGGGAGACTTGGCATGCAACCAGGGACCACGTCCAACGAAGCTACCTGATCGCATGGGATGCACAACCTGATCACCTCTGCGTGCCTGCTCAAGTTTCCAATTTGCATGGCAAGCGGCCAAGCCAATAATCGCCGAGCCGTTTTTTCATATCTGCACAATTGGCGCAATCTGAGATTGCGGTGAAAGGACAGCTATCGATTTATTTATTTAGACTTCTTACACTGGATCCTCGTGACTGGTCAATCCTATGTGTTCATAGTTGAAGTGTTTTTTTGCACGACCGATGCATTCCACAACAGAATTCGCAATGACAGTTCTGAGCAAGTGTGTAACATCTGAACAGATGTAAACTTCTGCTATACTTTCTCTTTTTAAAAATATAGCGGGGGGTCACCGGGGTCCCGGGGGGGTCGGTGACCAACGAAGACACCTCCCCAGGACCCGTGTAAACGTACCCGCAGGACTTCGGTGGTGCACCTGGGCGCATTTAAGTCGCAGCTGGTGGCCACCTTAGTCCTATATATATAATATATCGTAATATAACATAATATAATATAATATGATATAATATGATATACTATAATATAATATAATATAATATCATATCATATAACCAGGTTTGGTTCAGGTTTTACGGGATTCAGTTCCCGACGGATCACTCCAATCCAGTTCTTGTCTGGTGTGTGCATATGTCTATACACCATATGTACACGCACATTGCACATACAGTATGAAACATCCTTTGGTGGCCTGAAGCTGTTTGGACTGCGAAATTGGGCTGTCCTCAATGTTTGATACTCTGCTATGGGTGCTAATTCTCTGCAAAACAAAAGACAAAACATGCCAAGGCCTGTCTTACATTGACGTGGCACGATGCAAGTTGAAGGTTAATGTCTGATTTCTTTTGGTGGCATCAATGTCATCCAAGGTCATCATAATATCACCAAGCCCAGCAAAGATCTTTTGACATTGAACATTTTCGATCAAGTACAATGATTTCAATCATTTCATCATCATCATCATCATCATCATCATCAACCATCATCATCATCCTCATAACAATGACAATACTATAGTCCTAATCATCTATAGTCATCATAATAACAATGACAATGATATTGAGAATCATAAGCAATCATTTAGCATCTTTATTCCTCGCCTTCTGGACGAAACCTGCAGGATCCCAAGCATACAAGGGAGCAATGGCTCCAGCCTAGCTGGGGTCAACCATGGGCGTTTCCAAGATGGTGGGTGATGTTTTAGGGATTCAGACTGGGATTAACATGCAAACACCGCCATATACATATATACATATAAATATGTATGTATATATATATATACGTACACGTACACCAAATCCATATCGATATATATATATAATATATAATTGTATATACAGAAGCAATACATATATCGATTGACCACAAGTGGGGTCATGGATTTTCTTTCTGTAGAAAACAAAAAGGACGAGAGGATGGCGACCGTCCCAGCTAGCGAAGGAAGCTTGACCAAATCACCCCAGCAGGGATGGCTGGGCAATAGAGGACCTGTACTGGACATTTCTGGACCCTGATAGCGATGGCCTCGTACTGCAACTCATACATCTCTTTCTTCTTTTTTTGAACCTCAGGGTGATGTGAGAATCCAGAACGCCAGATCGATGGGGATTGTTGCAGATGTTGGTCCACGATGCTCCATGACTCAAGGGTCAAAATCTTGAAATCGTCTCGCTTTGAAAGATTTGGTTCATGTGCGCATTTTCTTTGGTCATCTACTATGGTTGTTGCTTGAATCCTTTTTGGTTTGCTTGAAGCCCCCCTTGCGGTTGGTTCACATCTCTTTTATGCCTGATCATCTGCAATATCAAAAAATATGTATACACACAAATATTATATATGTATATATATATATATGTAATATTTAGTATGATACTACAATACATGGCCGAATTACAATAAATCACCAACCTGGAAATTTTGAGATAGTTATTCCTACTAACCACTAATTTGGTGACATCTCAGTGAGATCGCTGTAATTCACCAAGATATTGTAATTATTAGTGTAAATATAAAGTAATATAAATATATATATATATATACATAATTATAAAAATATGTATATGAACTGAAAGGTCACAATTTCTATCATGGATCGGTCGACAATCTCCCCATCGTGCTTGCTTTGTCACACCAATTTTTCAGGTCTCCAGGGTCGCGACTTTGACTTTCTTCTCATCCGCCAGGTTGAACTTTCCGCCCTGGCCGCAACAAACATGGCCAGGATTTCAAGGCATGAAACATAGGGCATTGGGCATTTCATAACCAGGGACCAGGTGAGAGAGAGAGAGAGATATATATATATATATATATAAAACCCAGTTAAAACAAATTGTAACAATGAATAGTTGGGATTAATACTAACCATTAATAATAACATGCGGTCCAACTACACACATCGGATTTCATTTCTTGATCAAAATGGTAAAAATTATTAGCTTTCGACACGTGGACCACCAAAAATCTGGTGGAAAAGTCTTCTGCAGTAACCTGTCAGAACACCGATGCGTCGGATTCAAGTTTCAGAAACCATCCAAACCTCTGACGCACCTTGGGCAGGGATATGTTGCAAAAGATCGGCTGCAAACTGAGACGGTTCTACCGGTTTCAATGCGCTCTTTTGCAACTTGCCTTGTGAGAGCAAGTCCGACTTTGGCGGCATGTGAGACTCTCATGCTTCAACCGCTTTGAACATTCCGTTTAGTAATTACTTACTTTGATTTGCAGCAAAAAATAGTGAACAAAACAAAATAAGGATACTACATCATATTAAGTCATAATAATCTGCAATTACGCACTTCATATTGATATTAGCAATATTAAAATATGGATATATACAAAAACAACTGGCAATAATTTAGGATAGCATAGGATAGCAACATATAGCAACCAAGCCCACCCCCATCCCTTGGTTTATCGCCCGGCTGCGCGCTGCTGCCATCGCCACCAGGGACGCCACGGCGGCGCTCGTTCCCGGGATCCCCGAGAATCGCGGCCGAGGCGCGATAAACTCCGCGCCTCATTGGCGAATCGATGGATAGCGGCAGATTTATATCATTTTACATATCGATTTACATGCTGATTGGTTATATTTGTTTTTTTAATGTTGATATGTTGTAAAGATCATTCCTCATTGAGCTTTTGGACACAACTTGTAATTATAGGTTGTGAGTGATTCAATATTCATTCCGACCAAAGGAAACGACCTCTCGATGGGTCCAAGTTGGTGAGATGGTCACATCTTTGTGTCTGCAGGGTGTATGGGGATAAAACATGGAGGAGAATGGATTGGATATGGATTGGACTTACTTCCCAAGTCCGGGCCGGACCAGCATAAATCAAGATAGCAGCCTGGGCAATTGAGTAGACTGGACTGACAAAAATGAAAATAGGCCAGATGTGGCCAACATTGGTCAAATGTGACCAACCACCACCAACCAATGCTGCTGCGGGTCTCAACTCGATGATTGTCAACAATCAAATTGGGACCCCCAACCCTCAAGCGAAGAGGGGGTCACAGGTGACCAAACTGGCCTGATGACTGCCAGTGGACAGAACAGCACGCTCCGATCTGGAATTCAAATGATTACAACTCATGATGCCAGTATCTGCTCAATATAATCACTCTTTCTAGAGTCACTGAAGCCCAGACATTGATCTGAGTAACCACACCGTCACACTGTTGATCTATCCACTAGTTCCTGCTTGCACTCCAGCCGGGGCATGGGAAAATCACCTCTGAGATCAACACCTCGCAGCACCCACAAAAGCCATGCTCTGCGCCATCTTGCCGGACGGTCCACAGAAACGTTGCCAGGTCTTACCTGGTACTACCACATCTACCTGACTGTTCGTCTGGCAAAAATTTGGCAGGAAATGCTTGCCTGTTGGGTAAATCCGCATCCAAATGCCCTCCAGTTCTGGAGTACCCTGGAATGTGTACCAGATTGTCCCAGGCATCTGCCAACATCTTGTTTGTCCCTTCATAGACATGTGTATTTGCATCTGTTTGATCAAAAACTAGGACAACACGAGCGATGACGGCAGTGTGGTGTGTCATCTCTGAGGACATAATGAAATGGGAACTAGATGGAGCGGGTATGGACCTCCAATGTCTGCTCTCATAGAAACCAGTCTGGAACATCGCCAACTAGATATGACATGGAAAGAGTGGTTATTTTTTTGGGGCCGCCAATTTGCAGGCAGAGATGTGACAAGATTGAGTGTGTCGGACATCCACGGATTTCAAATCCATTGGTTTACTAAAGGTGTCAGATTTTGATCCGTTTTCGTTTAAGGTCTCCAATTATAGGGAAATAGATCCGTTCCCCCTGACCGCGCGCATTTTGCATCTCAATCTTTGGCAGGGACGAACTGATGGCGGAACCAACTGATGGTCCGGCAGAGGGACCCGGTGGTAGACCTCTTTTCTAGGCTCCCTGGGTTCCGGTGCTGCTGAGCTGCGGTATCCAGGTGGCACTCTGCAAACAGAGCCGCTGCAGTTGGCGATTCTTCGATCAAATGGGTGACAAATTTCATCTTGCCTGGAGCACTAGCGAATGGATCCCTCAAATAAGACACACATGTGAACTATGTAACTATTATGTAGTTATCATGTTAATTTATGTGACTGATACACAAAAGGTCATGATGGTCAGGAATCAGAAAGGGTATGTGCACAATGATAGCCTGGACGTTGCCCGAAAGATTCGTCACCCATATTAAGACCGAAAAAACCATCCACCAAGCTGACAATTCCAAGAACCCTTCCAGAGGTGTAACTTCTGCAATATGATGCCTACAGTATGTCCTTTAACATATTTTAACATGATCGAACCATGTTGAACCTGGATAATGCATGAAAGTTTGTAATCCTGAAATCATGTCTCTGCTCCTTGCTTGATTAGATTGTCTCCGCCGCGCTCTGGCAGACATTTTAAACGCCATTTACGGTTCATGACCCGGGTCAGGTGATGGAAACCCCAATTTTGTATAATTTTGTTACATCAAATAAATCGATTTCCCACTGTTGTCCGCAACTATGAATCTATGAAGCAGGTCTAGTGACCAAAGGATGTCAACAGGGACAATAGCCCCCTCTGTCTTAAGGACATGTTGTCACCCCGGCTCTGGGTGCCGGGGAGTGCCAGTGACGTGCCGCTGCCGGGGTAGGACGGCTTTTGTGCCCCTTGATGGGCGGTTTGAATTGCTGGACGAGAACTGGTTCAATCCAAATGAAGACACCACATATTTCAATATATTTCCTCTATAGCTATGAAACCCATAAAAGGACTGCAGCTGTGCAGCCTTTTGGATAGCTCAATTGACAATATTGATATGAAATCCCAGACCCTGAGTTTACATGTGTCAAAATCTTCCCTTCCATTCAACTCCAAAACTGCTCTTGATGCTTCCTTCTCTCCGTGCTTCAGACTCTTAGCTCTAACGGTTTCCGCAATCACATGTTGGGATGGCTTCAATTGGTTGTTTCTCAAAGTCTGAGACCTCAATTGCCACAGCCACCATAACTATCCATAACTGGTCTTTGTCACGAGAAAAATTACGCTTTGTTGGTGTCTCAGAGTTTGAGAAACCCTGGCTGTGCTAGACTCTCTTCCGATTTGGCTGCTGGGTTGGGGCATAGCAATGTGGCTTTACCCCGTCAACTGGCCACGCGGTCATCCGATCTTCTTTCGCCAAAGGAAGACCTGCCGATCCAGAGCGACTGGGCCAGGTCCCTAAGTTTGATGTGGATAAAACGGATCAAAGTTACACACACCAAGCTGGGATGGTTTACCAAACATAACCAATATCTGCTGTTAAAGCATCACGTAACCGCGCACTGTTCCGGATTCAGTACTATTTACAACTTCCACAATTGCATCAATTTTGCAACTACTCGAAAGCAGTAGGCATCGTTCAATAGTTACTGTCTTATACTGTCTTCACCTCCCCAACCAAATACTGATACCAGGCATTGATTCCAGCCATGTTTGCTTGCAATCAGACTGAGACCAGCTGGGTTGTGCTCCGCCTCTTGTTGCTTGAAGTATCGTCGATCCTCTTCATCCACAAGGACCAAATTCAAGAAGTATCTGGCGCTGATGGCAACGATGGCAGTAAATGGATGGTGCAAAATCTAGCCCATGGGACGCGGGACATCTGATCATTTTCACTAGTGAACTATCCATTTCAAATCCAATTCTAAGGTTGGCAACTATGATCCATACTACTGAAAACATTGAACACCCTCTGCGGTTTTGAAGTTTCGGACTTAGTAGTAGTAGTAGTAGTAGTAGTAGGTAGTAGTAGGTAGTAGTAGTAGGAGTAGTAGGAGTAGTAGGAGTAGTAGGAGTAGTAGGAATAGTAGGAGTAGTAGGAGTAGCAGGAGTAGTAGGAGTAGTAGCAGTAGTAGCAGTAGTAGGAGTAGTAGTAGCATAGTAGTAGTAGTAGTAATAGTAGTAGTAGTAGTAGTAATAGTAGTAGTAGTAGTTATCAGGACAGGGATTATATACTTACTCGTCAGAAAAAAGTCTATGAACAAAATCATAATCATGCCGTATTATGGCTGTTGATTGCAGCTCCATCTGGTGGCTTAAGTACAGGACGCAGCAACCTGTTGGACTGTGCTCTCCCCCTAGGCCTCACTGAAAATTTGTTTTGCACATTCCTTGGCGGCCAATGCTGTGGACACCCAGGAAGAACACAAGAAGTAATGCTAGGGCTTCGGAGACCCTGATGAGACAGCCTCGTCACTGGTGTGAAGTGTATCGTATCAAGTATCAAGTTGTACAATGGACGAGTCCACATGATATTTTTGCATGATTTCATAGTTTTAATATCATTCTTCTGGACCTGGAAAGTTGGGCCCTTCTTCACAAGGATTGCAAACAGAACCAGAAGGTCCGACACCATGGTGTTGGGCAGTTAAAACCAACAGGACAATGCTTCTTTGCGGTAGCCGCCGTTGAATGGACGTAAATACGTGAGGTGGGTGTCAGGGAAGCTGCAAACATTATAATATATGCCAAACCATTCATGCTTAAACCATCCTGGGTGACTTGGGCGTCGTAGCTTTTTATTTCACATCCAATCCATCCAAAGATATAAATTGCACATAGGTATGCGTTCAATCACACCTTGGGAATCCAACTCCTAATTTCAAACCGGCCCAAGGGAGAATTTTCTGTTCCTTTCAAACCTGTTTTCACCTGCAAAGAATCGCCCGACCAATCCGGGCAAGCTGTCCTAACAATGGGTGAATATACCCAAGAGATCCCAAGAGTTTTGAAACCATCCTGGGGACCCGACTTGTAGGTGGGTGTCAAATCGAAACCCGTCAAATAGAGCCTTCCAGGACGAAGGCTCGGAGGCAAAAGCCGCACACAGGAGGCGAAAAACGACCCACATCTTTGGGTTGAGGTACATACGTCTTTCTAATTTCATTATATATCTTTGGGATATCTTTGGGTATGTTGATCAAACGACCCAACTCTATCAAAAACATATCTTTACTTTACCGGTCGTGAAACACTTCCTGCATCTTCCTGCGCTTGCACTAGGGCCTGACAGGGATGCACTGATCCTTCACCGGCGCACCGTCCTAAGTCGTCCAGGGTGGACCCAACAATTTGAACATCCATCAAGTAGTTCCAAGGATCCATTAATGGACCCATCAAATTTGATGATTCTTGGTCATAAACCATCCAATTTTGTTTAACTTTTGCATAGTCGGAAATCATTTTGAACCATCATTGGAATCGTGACCCTGGCAGTCGTCAAGACAAGAAAATATCCTTTAGACGTGAATTGTCTCGAGCCACAATGATATGCAAACCCGAAACGGCAAAACTTCAAGACTACTTCTTTCAAACTTTGATGCCTCCATGAACTACAATCACCTCAGGGCCCTCCAACCATGATTTCGAACTTGGTCAGCGTCTCGTTGTCGGTTTGCTGCCCTTGTGCGCGCTGGTGACATTTCTAAAAGGTGGAAGCTTGTGCTTGTTGTTGTTGTTGTTGT